AGGCAGGGGCAGGGACAGGGGGAGGCACCTCACAGAAATTGACTACAAATGATGCCTTAACATATTTGAAGAAAGTCAAGGAAATGTTTCAAGATCAAACAGAGAAATATGACATGTTCCTGGAGGTCATGAAAGACTTCAAAGCTCAGAGGTATACTCTTTGGGCCTGCTGATTTTTTGCTGGGTAAAGAATGTGATCTTGGTTTTAACTTTTAAAATTCTGAATGCCATCCACTTTTTCTTTTGCAGAACTGACACGGTTGGTGTCATTGCCAGAGTGAAGGAATTGTTCAAAGGGCATAACAACTTAATTTTTGGATTTAATACTTTCTTGCCAAAAGGATATGAAATAACCCTTGATGAGGATGAGAATCCACCAAAAAAGACAGTTGAATTTGAAGAAGCTATCAGTTTTGTGAACAAGATAAAGGTGAACAACTGATCCATTGTTTTATGTGCGGTTATTTTTTGCTGCCAGCTCTTGTTTCACAGGTTTTGTTCTGCAGAAACGTTTCCAAAACGATGAACATGTTTATAAATCATTCTTAGACATATTGAACATGTACCGGAAGGAGCACAAGGACATAAACGAGGTCTACAGTGAGGTAAATTGATGTAATTATCAATCATTTCATGCTATGATAATCAGCTCTGTTGTACTAGTACCATTGTTTTGTAATAGTGGAAACTTTAATTTCCAGAATTTTCAGCTTATGTTTTTAGACCTGATTATGTTCAGGTTGCAGCTCTCTTCGAGGATCATCCAGATTTGCTTGAAGAATTCACAAGATTTTTGCCTAGTAATTCAGCTTCACCTTTGACAAATGAAGTTCCATATGGACGAAATTCAACTCAGGCTCAGCGTTACAACGAGCGAAGCTCTGCTGCTGCACCTACAATGCGTCATATACAAATGGACAAGGTTATATTATTATTATCTATTAAAGTTTTAGATCCTAAATTTAGTGTATTTCTTTTTGGAACTAATAATTCTCTTTCTTTCAGCAACGTCGAAGGGATAGGATTATTACTTCCCATGCTGACCAGGATCTTAGCGTTGATCGTCCTGACTTGGATGATGACAAAGCTATGATGAAAATGCAAAAGGAGCAGAGAAAACGCATAGAAAGGGATAACCGGGATCGTAGAACTCGTGATCAAGATGATAGAGAGCCTGAGCATGATAATAATAGGGGTTTCAATTTGCATCATTTTCCTGAGAAAAGGAAATCTGCAAGGAAGATTGATGGCTTTGGAGTCAATTCTAACTATGCTTCTTATGATGACAAAGATACTTTAAAGAGTGAGTCATTTGAACTTGTGAAATTTTTGGTAGCATAGTTGGCAATTATCTTTTTTCTCTTGTTCTCCATATGGTTTTTTGCGTTGTTGAATGTGCTGTGTTGTTTCCTTGTTTTACACTTGTTAACATTTTGTTGTGTCAGTTAGGGTTTTGAGTGAACTCAACCCCCATCTCTCCGATGGAGAACAGGCCAACATACAAATATGAAGCATGTTTGCATGTAGAATTGTTTTAACACGTTGGCTGAATTCACCTCAGCCTCATGTGTTTGTGATGTGGACTTTTTTATTTATGTGCAGCTGGCAGAACTGAATTAGGTCTTCTAGTTAAATGGTTACTTATATTTTATTGTTCTATACTAAGTCTTTTGTTATTAGTTTTCAAGTATCCTGCAGAGTTTTATTTAAATGCAGTGAAATACCATCTGTTTCCAGTAGTTATTTTTCTGCTTTTCATAATTTGAGGGAAGTTTTGCTTTTACATGATTCTTTTATCCAGTCATCCTTTCGTCAGTGAGCAATTGGAAACAATTTATCAAAATTCTCAAAACCTTTGCCTTCTGTGATGCCCATTTAATGATTTTTATGTCTAACTTTCTATCCTTCATTTGACACACCCATAACTTTGAGATTTTTGTTTACAAATATCAGGCATGTACAATCAAGGTTTCATTTTCTGTGAGAAAGTTAAGGAGAGGCTATGCAGCTCAGATGAGTGCCAGCGCAACACAGATGACTACCAGGCATTCTTGAAGTGCCTTCATATTTACAGCAATGGAATAATTAAAAGAAATGACCTGCAAAATTTGGTATGGTCTGCACTAGTTTTGGCCCTTTTTCCCAATCTTTTCTAATTATACTATTGGTTCATTCTTAGTAAAAATATCTTGAGGCACGTGTTGTGTTTTCCTTTATTTTTCTTTTCTTTTACTAATCTTTTCTTATCTTGCGTTATGCTTTTCACAGGTGGCTGATTTGCTTGGAAAGTATCCTGATCTCATGGATGAGTTCAATCATTTTGTGGAGCGTTGTGAGAATATGGGTAATTCTTGAAAAGTTAAAATTGGGAAGTTATTTTTCTTCATTTATTCTCTTTTTGGTTGTGGTTGTTTAATTGAAATCTCTCTTGCAGATGGATTCTTAGCTGTTATGAGTAAAAGTATGTAATTTGAGTTCCCTCTTTTCCTTTTTTCTTGCATTATGGATTTCCATTAGCTTTTTGATGGTTTTATTATTTTTTATATGCACTTATAGGGATAGTGTATTTGTTTTGATGCAAGAAACTTTCCCTCTGTATATGTCTATTCTAATGGCTCTCACCAATTGCTTGCAGAATCACTTGGTAGTGATGGACATCTATCCAGACCAGTGAAAATAGAGGATAAAGATAGAGAGCCAAAGCGTGAACAAGAGGGAGCTAAAGAAAAGGAGAGATACAGAGAGAATCAGAAGTATGTGGCAAAATCCATTCAGGAGCTTGACCTTTCTAACTGCCAGCGTTGTACGCCTAGCTATCGTCTTCTGCCTGATGATGTAGGAGAAATTTTAGTTTTTTTTTTTTTTTTTTTTTTTTTTTTAAGAATATTCTTAATGATTTGATATCAAATGAAACTGTTTGGCGTTTATCTGTTGCAGTATCCAATTCTGTCAGCTAGCCAGCGATCAGAGCTTGGTGCACAAGTGTTGAATGATCACTGGGTATCTGTGACTTCAGGAAGTGAGGATTACTCATTCAAGCATATGCGCAGAAATCAATATGAAGAGAGTTTGTTCAGATGCGAGGATGATAGGTAAAGCTAGTTCCTATAGTTGTCTGAGATTTTTACTATGTGAAACCTATGTTGTCCTTTTCATTCTTTTTCCCCCTTTATAATCTATTCATGTTGCTTCAGTGGTGTGGTAGTTCCAAATGCCACGTAGAAAATTGAACTTGATAGTTATGATGTTTCTTTTCTTTGAAGAAATGATGGGATTGTTGTTTCTGGTTTTAGATTTGAGCTAGATATGTTGTTAGAATCAGTGAGCTCTACTGCCAAGCGTGCTGAGGATTTGTTGAACAATATTAATGAAAATAAAATCAGTCCAGATTCACCAATTCTCATTGAAGAATACTTCACTGGTTTGTCTTTTTACCCTTTGTTGAATTATATTGAACCTTTTGTTACCTGGGTTTTATTAACTTGATTGAACATTCTTGGCATTTTTGGAATCACCTTTTGCAGCCCTAAATTTAAGGTGCATTGAGCGTTTATATGGAGATCATGGTCTTGATGTCATGGACATATTACGTAAAAATCCTGCTCTTGCTCTTCCAGTTATCTTAACCCGGCTGAAGCAGAAACAAGAGGAGTGGACAAAGTGTCGTGCAGATTTTAACAAGGTTTGGGCAGAGATTTATGCCAAAAACCATTATAAATCACTTGATCATCGCAGCTTCTATTTCAAGCAGCAAGATTCAAAGAACTTGAGTGCCAAGTGTAAGTTGAATTTCAATATCTAATTAAGTTGAATTTCAATAGCTGATAGCTGGTTCTAAAGGTTACCCTCTCTCTTATCCAGTGATCTTTTATCATCTATTAAACCTTTAATTAAAGATTGTTATTCTATGGAGTCTTAATGATATAGGGTTAATTTTTATGTTATATAATATTATTGCTAACAAGTTTTAATGGTTCTTTTAACAAATTGCAGCTTTGGTTGCTGAAATCAAAGAGCTGAAAGAAAAGAATCAGAAAGAGGATGACATTCTCTTGGCTATTGCTGCTGGTTACAGACAACCCTTGGCTCCTCACCTCAAATACGAATACTCTGATGTTGATATTCATGAAGACTTGTATAAACTTGTCCAATATTCTTGTGAAGAGATGTGCTTAACAAAAGAACAGTTAAATAAAGTTATGAGGCTTTGGATCACTTTCTTGGAGCCAATGCTGGGTATTCCTCCAAGGCCCCATGGTAGAGAGGGTGCTGAAGACACTGGAAAAGCAAGGAATCTTGTTACCAACTTCACAGCATCAAGCATGGCAGAAAGTGATGGGAATCCTATGGCTGATGCTAGTGTAGGGAATTCTAGGCAACACAAAGCTACTGGCAATGGAGATGAGAACAGCTCACCAGATCTAACACATTCTGGCAGAAACAATGTGGCTAATGGGGATACTTCAGGCAAGGAAGAACATCCTGGTTGTGTCTACAGAGAGGATTCAAAGCTAGAGAAAGAGCCAAAAAGTATAGATGTGGCAGATAAAAGACCTGGATTGAGCATACATGCATCTGGTGGTAGGGTAGCCAATTCCGTTTCATCACATGCGATTGGAGTGGAAAATAGTCATGGAAGAAACAGCGTTGAACTGTCATCTGGTATGCATTTCAAAATCGTTTGCATGATAAATGCATTTCTATGACTTTTTGTATTTAAGCTGATCTAGTTATTTTAATATTTTTTTTCTCAAAATCATACTGATTTAGTTCAAATTTCAAGGTTGTGGTGCAGCTGCATCAAGACATAATAATGAGGGTACCACTGATCATGAACACACAGCTGATGATGTTACTCCTTCAGCAGAAGTATGAGTTTATGGCTCTGTCATGCTTTTGTTTTTGAAGATATCATCAATATATGGTGTTTTTGGGCTATTTTGATTTATTTGTTATTAACCTGTATATATTTCCTTCTACTTTAGGGTGTTGATGTTGCAAAACCTGTTATATTGGCAAATGGAGTGTATACGGAAGGGACAAAGGTTGGTAGATATAATGAAGAAACTGCAGGGCCTTCAAGAATTGAAAAGGAAGAAGGTGAGTTATCACCCAATGGTGACTTTGAGGAGGATAATTTTGTGGGCTATGGAGAAGCTGCTACAAAGGCTATGCCAAAGGCAAAACGTGGTATTGAAAGCAGGCAATACCAGTCTGGAAATGGGGAAGAGCTGCATTGTGATGATGGTGTGGAAAATGATGCTGATGATGAAGATAGTGAAAATGCTTCTGAGGCCAGAGATGATGCCTCTGGTAGTGAGTCTGCAGGTGATGAATGCTCCCGTGAAGAGCATGAAGAGGAGGATGATGTGGAACGAGATGAAGTTGATGGCAAGGCTGAGAGTGAAGGTGAAGCTGAAGGTATTGCTGATGCACACTTTGTAGGCGGAGATGCATTGTCAGTGTCAGAACGTTTTCTTTTGTCAGTGAAGCCTCTTGCAAAGCATGTGTCTGCTATTTTACTTGATGAAGAAAGAAGCAAATCTCGGGTTTTTTATGGAAATGATGATTTCTATGTTCTTTTTAGGCTCCATCAAGTAAGTAAAATTTTTTTGAGCTTTTTCCTTAGGTTTGTTAGTGAATGTAACTTCTCTTCATTCCCCCCCTCCTCCCCCTAGCCCCCCCCTTTAAATCTGATTTTATTCTTTGGCTTTCTTAGGTTCTATATGAAAGAATCCTATCAGCAAAAACAAATGCAACAGGTGCTGATCCAAAATGGAAAAACTCAAAAGATGCCAGTTCTTCAGATTTTTATGCCAGGTGGTTTTAGTGGTAGACTGAGTTCTAATTCAATGTAATGTCAAATTCATATGCTGATCTGGACTCTTCATCTCTGTGCTGCTCAGATTTATAACTGCATTGTACAGTTTGCTTGATGGATCTGTTGATAATGCCAAATTTGAGGATGAATGCCGAGCTATAATAGGAAATCATTCATATGTGTTATTCACGTTGGACAAGTTAATATATAAATTGGTTAAACAGGTTTGTTTACCTTGCTGGTGTTCGTTCATATCACTTACCATCATTTTTCTACATGTATTCTGAGTCAGTTGTTGCTGCAGCTTCAAACTGTTGCAACAGATGAGATGGATAACAAACTTCTCCAGTTGAACGAGTATGAAAAATCCCGGAAATCTGGGAAGACAATTGATTCAGTGTATTATGAGAATGCACGAGTCCTCCTTCATGAGGAGAACATATATAGATTGGAATGTGTAAGTTTGCACAATTTGTTTTCCCTGCCACACAGACAGGACACTTCAATATCCCTGCTATATGTAGTATATCTATGAGTATTTACATCTATTGCTTATGAATTTTGCTTCATTTAATATTAGTTTTGCTCATTTTGCAGTCATCTTCCCCATCTCATTTATCTATTCAGCTGATGGATAATGTCATTGAAAAGCCTGAGGCATTTGCAGTTTCCATGGATCCTAATTTTTCAGCATACCTCCACCATGATTTTCTTTCTGTGTTTGCTGGCAAAAAGGAGCCACATGGAATTACACTGAAGAGGTTTTAACACTCACATTCAGTAGTTGATTTTGCCTTTAATTAAAATCTAGCAGTTGAAGCCTAGGCTTCACCGGACCGTCAATTGTTACACTGAATGTTCCTAGTTAGAATATCTGCATAACATGAAATGTGAAATGTGATTCCTAGTTTGGGTTCTTATAGACCCTCATGGGCACATTGAAATGTGATTCCTAGCTTTGGACTGACCATCTAGTTTGCCTCTTTAATGTTCTCACAAATTGATGGTTTTGGATGCAGTAGGAAAGAAAAGTTCTAAAATTCTGTCACTGCATGACCTCTCAATTTTTGGTATGTGCAGAAACAGGCACAAATATGCAGGCCTAGATGAACTCTCTGCTTTTTGCATGGCAATGGAGGCTGTCGAACTGGTTAATGGTTTGGAATGCAAGATAGCTTGCAACTCATACAAGGTCTCGTGCTCTTGCATATGCTATTTTTCTTTATTCCTTTTAGCACAGCATTTTTCCCGCGGTGTTTCCTCACTTTTGTGTAGCCTGAGATTATATTTACCCAATTCTGCTTTTCATCACAATCAGAACTTCTTTGCTTTTTCCTAAGAAGTCCGAGAGATCATCATCTTAAATGACACATGCTGATTGTCATAAATATGAGCATTTTGGTTTTGTATTGTTTCTTTTGCCCTGATTTCAGTGTATTCTGTGGCAGATTTCCTATGTGTTGGACACAGAAGATTTCTTCTTCCGTAATAGAAGAAAGTCATCCCAAGGCAGATCTTATAATAATCAGGCAAGAGTACAACGGTTCCACCGGTTCTTATCATCTTCACAACAATAAAAACACCCCTTCTTTGGAACTTTTGCTCAAGGTAATTTACCAAGGCAATGTCAAATTGTCAATGGATTTCTGAAAATTTCCACGTATGGAAAATCATAATTTATCTTCTTCCCTTGCAAAGTCATTGGATAAGAGGACTCTAACACGATGCTTCTTGTATGCTCATAGAAATCATTGCACAACCAACCTGGAAACGCATCAACGAGGCAGCGTCCCAGAATGTTTGTAGTTTATTCTAGTTCGTCGAATGAGAACTTGAAAGAGAGGATGGTTAGGGAACTGTATGTTTCATATCTGTAAGTTCATATGAGGCCAGCATCTGAGCCATTGGTATGTAAATAGGGTTTATTGTAAAAAAAGGAATATGTTTTCTTAATGTTGTCACAGATAGGGGCTGCACTCACAGCTTTCCCCAATTCAGGGCTTAAAAGTCTGCAGCTCTAATTTACACTTGAACTTACCTCAATGTGTAAGCAAAAGAACATGATCAAACAGGGGAGACAGGCAGTTTGTATTTTACTTCTCATTGAATTCGGGATGTTTTATTAGTTTGAAAGCTATACATCAATTGCCACAGCTTGCATGCATAGTCCTTTTACTTTTTCTCTCAACTTTCAGATTTGTTTCAAAGATATTTTCAAACTTTAAAAAGTAACGAAACGATCCTTTGACTTGATTTTCGATACTAATTTCATTGGAGAAAAATAGAGAGAATGAGGGGTAATGTCCATTTCATTTTTCTTTATTTCCTTTGCCTCCTCTTTCCTCAATTAATAATGATAAAATTATAAAGAAAATAAAGTAAAGCCCCTTCTCTTCCCTCCTCCCTCTAATATTCTTTAATTTTTGTTATTTAAATATAAATATTTATTTCTTTCACTTCAACTCTCGTTCTCTTAAATTATCTCAAATTAAATTAATTATATAAAATGAATTGAAAAAAAAGACCCCCCAAATAAAAAATTTTACAACGTAAAGAATAAAGTTTGGAGATTTGGCTTAAATGAAAGTCTTAGGGTGATAGATAACATTTCAACAAATATCATTTACATATTTGCATGTAGAAACCATTATAGGCATAAATTAGGATAACATCAAAAGAGAATTTCTTAGGGGAAAAAATACAGTTTAAGAATGCAGAAACTACATTAGTGTATTGTTGAAGGACCTCTCCTACCTCACTGAAAAAAGTATATTTCTTTATTTTCATTAAAAAAAAAAAAAGGAATTGAAACAGGAAGACATCAAGCTATATTAGAAGAAACGTATTCATTAACAATTTACAAAGTGCCAGAAAACCAAATATATATATATAAAACCACACCTACTCACAATAATTCAGTCAGAATGTTCAATTGTCATTCTCTGTCAGATCAAAAACACCACTGTGCTTGTCCCATGGCAATGATCCCTCTCCTTCATTTTCCAGCAGTTAAACAATGTTTTTCTTCAAGCTACCAACATTGACAAGTTATCAATGATAATATCAATTCCCTCTAGCAAACAAATTTTGAGACTCCAATCAGATTTACAGGAAAATCTCCAGAATAGATAAATAAATGAAAATTTAACATCACACATCATTAATCATTGTTTGAAACCAGTGACAACAAGAACCTTTTGTCCACTTCCTCTAACAATAATTTATACAATGAAGATGCTAATTGGAAGAAGATTCAAGTTTTCACTTTCTTGTAGGAGTAACTACAGCTTCAATAGTCTGTATTAGGTATCATAACAGCTATTGATTAGCCAATTTATCATAACCAAAACTCCATGTGTCAAGCAAATGAATTTGTCAAACAGGAAGCATTGGCATAAACAATTATAAACTTATCAATTCTATTTGAGGATAAACAATTATAATCTTCTTGGTATAAAATAGATGGTTCATGCCCTTTCCCACATTGCTCTTGACTATCAAACAATTGAAGGATAACCACAAATAAAATAAACAAATTCTTAAGAGTGAACAAAAATGCATGAAAACAAGATTCAATATCAAGAAAATGCAGACAGGTGAAGGGAAACCGTATCCGTAATAGCATTTTTAAGGAATTTTAACTCTAAGTTCTTATTGCATCCATTCCATTTTTTCAGTTTTTCATTCTCAGTAAACATTGCAAACGGAATACAAATTAGATTCACCAAACATGAAATTGATTTCTAAAATTTATAGATAAAAAAAGCATTATATTCCCTACATTTTCTCAGAACACACGCACCTTGGTAAGAAATTAATTACCCCAGCTTCGGCCAAAAAAATGTTAATAACCCTAGCAAAATCAAAGACACGTAGAAGAAACAAAAATAATCAACAAAAAAGGAAAAAAGCGAGCACTCACCCAAACATATAGTCGTCGACATCGTCATTCCCCAACAGGCACGATCCAGAACATGCCATAGTGGCCACTCTCCCCACAGGAACCTACGAACACCGATTGGCGCTTCGAAGCAGTAGGAAACAGACCACTGTTTTTCTATTTGAGCCTGAACTCCAGATCTGTCCTCTAGGCTGCAGCCCGGGGCTTAAAAGCGTCAAGGAAACATCCGGCCAACGAAGGATACTCATATCGACGCCCTTACCTAGCTGGTCGGCGACTATAGCAACCTCCACCATGCGGCCCTTCCACCAGACGGTTAGAGCAGAAACAGAACAGCGAGGTCCAGGGAGGAGAGGGGAGAGCGGACGGCAAAAACCAACATTTAGCCCCTCACCTTACAAAGTTGATAAGTTTTAACCCCTCACCTTTTAACGTAACAGTTTTAGCCTTTTATCTTACAAAATTAGTAAGTTTTAGTTCCTCACCTTACAAAGTTAGTAAGTTTTAAGCTTTTATCTTATATTATGATATTTTTAGCCCATCATCGATACGAATTAAAGAAAATAACCCTCACTAAATATCAAGTTATCACGTTCTGCTAGTTTCGTTAGTTGACTGTTAAAATTTGTTAGCATTCTATTATAAAAAATATGAAATTTAAATTCAATTTCGTTTGTTAATTTCATTAATGAAATGCTAACAGATACTAACAGTCAACTAACAGAATTAATAGTCAGCTAATAAAATTGATAATCAAATAACTGAATTAATAAAATATTAAAACTTGATATTAAATAAGGATTATTTTTTTCAATTTATATAAATAAGGTGTTAAAAGTGTCATAATATAATCTGAAAAATTAAAACTTATCAACTTTGTAAAATGAGGAGTTAAAACTTATTAATTTGTAAGGTGAGCAGGTTTGTAAGGTAAAAAAGTAAAAGTTTCATATTATAAGATTATGAGTTAAAATCTACCAAAATGAAAGACTAAATATTGGTTTTAGCCAGAAGCGGACTTGGGTGGGCAGGGGGAAGACGAGACGATAGAGGAGGGAAAGGGATTTTCACTCTCTTTTGCAGTTAAAGGGTATTTATGACATTTCGTTTACAGCATCTAATCTACGCCGTTTATTCCTTCCATAGCAATCCCAGATCAAATCATCTCCAGTCCACGTACTCCGCCTTTACTCATTTATTTATTTTGAACGGGAAAGGAAAAATCTTACAATTACATATCTGATTGAGGATTTGAGCCTTATTGTGGGCCAAGTTTTTTTTTTTTTTTTTGGCATATTACTAATCCAGAATTGCAGTTGAAATTGTGCTTCTGGATTAGTAGTTCTCTCGTATTTATAAAAGACTTCTCCTGTTAAAATTTGAAGGAATGAGATTTAAATTTAACTCCAACATTCAAAAAAGGAAAAGTTATGATTTTTTATTTAAGTTATACTTTAAAAGTATAATTTAATTATTAAATATTTTTTAAATAAGGTTACAATTTGGGGGGTGGGGGAATGGAATCTCAACCCTCGAGGTAGGGAATGCAGCTTACAAGTCAGTTTATGATCGTTGGGCTGTGAGGTTCAAGTGCATTTAATTATTAAAATTTAAATAAAATTATTAATAAATTAACATAACCATAAACAAAATTTTCATTAAGTATTTAAAAATTTTTAACATCTAAATTATATTTTTAATGTATAATTTGATATGAAAAATATCTTTTTGTCTTCTACTTAAGCATTATAATAACCTTTTTTTCATTAGCATTTAACTAAATATAGGTTGTGAGTGCACTTGCACCTTTTGACGCAACGATTCTACTCTTATTATAAAGTACATCCTCCCAATTTTAGAGTTGAAATTCCAATTCCCACAACCCCAAATTATAAACCATTCATATATATATAGACTGGGTACTTTTTCAGGGTTATTTATTTATTTATTTATTGTGTTTAAATGGTTAAATTTATATCATATACAGTTATACACTCATACTGTTTTATAAGTAGTTTGAGAGGATGCACCGTGTTATCCAAAACTATTTCTCTACAAAGAATAAGAATGACGAAGTGGGGTAGGCACTGAAATACAGAATTGAACACTTATAATCACCACTGTTTCTTTCCTGTAGAAAATAAAGTAATACAGGTTAATTATATGAGAAAAGAGCAAAAAGGAAGAATAAACATCACTCATAAGATTACAACAACCCAACAGCACAGCTTAAATGCAGTCTGTTCTCCAACCCTCTCAAATGATGACCCATTAGCATACACCTGCAAGGTAGAAAAGAGAAGTGTGACGTTGCGAGCTCAGGACGGATGACAGCAGAAAAAGAACAGAAGGACACTAGATCATCCTAAGAATGAGAAAGAAATATTGTTGGTGTTTGTGCCTGTGTATTTGTGGATGAAGACCTATGTTGTTAAGGCTGCTGATGCAAGCCTAAACTTTTTTTGGATAAAATGTGAAAATTGTATTTATCCATGAAACTATCTGTACAAGAAGTTCAGTAGCAACTTGCTGCTACAATGAAAAATACTCAGCTCTATACAACAGTCTCAAAAACCCCATTTCAAAGCAACTGATGCACTTAAAATAGAGGAAAAAGGCCTAGCACTTTCCAAAATTTTGTGTCTCACATCAAAACAGATGTCATTGCACACTACATCTGCTGTTTTATAGACAATATCTTGTTGTAAACCTTAACAAGAGAAATGACAACATACCAGAAAAGCAGCTTTGCAAGGTAATCACGAGAAGTTCCTATTGTGCCAAAATTTTCATCATCAGCATCTTGATGATTCTCCATATTCTCTGTGATTGTCTCTCCCCTAAAGTTAGAGGTAACCTCATCCTTGAAAAATCGGTGCACTATGTTCTGAACAAGCTGGTGTGTTATTTCCTCCACCTCTAACGATGATGGTTGGGATAATTCAGTCACCTGGCAATATAAATTTAAATACAAGATAAGATGTGTTAGAGTTCCAAAACAATAAGATTCAATTCAAGACAAGATTATTATGGGTCATTACCATGTCAGCATCCAAGGATCGCAAATATTCTAACAAGTCATTCCTGCTTCCTCTTTCATATTCTATTTGCATGTTTTCCTTCTTTTTGGCATTCAGTTCCTGAAACATACAATACTCAGATTGAAAAGAGAATATAAAACACACTACATTATCAACTGCAAGTTATAGTACCATAAAGTGATTAGTATCTTTTGTCATACAAACATGCAAGATCATTTTAAGAATATGGATTGTATGATCTGATTTTTGTCCTTTTTCTTCTTAAAACTGACTAATAGCTTTGAACAAGTACTTTTTATGTGTTTAATCTAGAGCAAGTCCTTTGGAGAAAAGTTCAGTAACATAGACATTCTTATTAGCGCATACAATGTATAAGGACAGCACAAACTTGGCTGCCAAAGCATTCCTTGTTTTATGGTGCCCTCTAATTCTTTAAATACGGTGAAGAAGAACTAGTGTAATGAACTTTCCAAAAGAACTATAATAGCTTCCAATGCAACTTGAGTCACCAGTCTATTTTGTTAGCAAAAAAATATTTATATACATAAAACTCTTTAGTCATAGTAATAGTAAGTATGCTATCATAGTAAAAGTAAGTATGCTATCTTCTCAAGCAACATTGAGAAAGAAAAGCAAAAAGGATAAAGCAACATGGAGATAGAAAAGCAAAGCGGATAAACCAAGTGTAAGGTAGGAGGGGGTGACACTCAAGCTTTTTTTTTTTTTTCCTATGTCTAATATGGCAAATAGAGTATGCCACACTATCAAAATCTTCAAAACTAAGTCAAGCATAGTAATATTTATTTAAGGACTGGAAAAGGCAACAGATTTTTATAACAGGCAGCAAATTGATCTGAAAAAAGCTTACCATGATTTAGGCAACATGCAAGTTCACAATTTATTACAAAACAAAACAAAAGCAGTATAGAAGGAATTAAAGTAGTGACAATGTTGTGATTCAACTTTCAGCCTTCCTAAGCTTAAATTACTAGACTGCATAGGAATAGCAACAGCAATTTTCTACAATTTCCAATATAACGCTAATCTTGATGGATCCCATAGTATAGTCAAGAAACTCCTACCCATAGCAAGTTCTCTATATACATGGACAAAAAAAAGGAAGATGCTTACATTCATTGACAATTCAACAAACAAACTAAAATTACTAAGCTTGTAAAGCTAGATACATTATGATTTATGACATCTAAGATATTTTACTGTTAGCATCATTGCTAACTCCTAAGCCACCAGCTTTTGCTTTTAGAAGCCAGAGAATTTACAACTCTGATTAAATTACTCTTAAACCAAAAGCATAGTGCAGCCATCGTCCTACTTGTTCATAAACTAACATTATCTCACAACTTCCTAATCAAACATGACCAAATCAAAATGACCAAAACATGCATTCAAATTATATCACAATACTCTCCTATTACCATCTGAATATTGTCAATTATTAAAGCACTATGCAATTACCCAACAACAAAATCCTCACCTCTTCCGCTTCAGACAGCTCGGATTGCAACTTCTGAATGTAATTCAATGCCTCCGGTGACAAATCTCCAAAAATCTGGGGTCTTACCCCCTCCAACTCATCGATACTACCAACCCCTAGCTCTCCTCCCTCACTCTTTTCTTCCAAAACTTCACTCTGCTTTGAAAACCCCTTCCCTCTCTCCACCGGTATGTCCCAATTTCTCGTCAATGAAATCCTGTACTCTGCGTTCCACAACGTGTATCTACCACATAAAAGGCGGTTAATAAAAGCTTAATAAAAAACAAATTTCACTATTTTGTTTCGAGAAATTGAACCTACCCAGTAATAATGGAGGAAAAGAGGAGGCGACGAAAGGGGTTTTTGGAGAGGGAAATAGAAACGGCGAAGTGATCGGATGGAAGAAGGCCTAGCATGGTGGAAATGGTCTGCTTCATGGAATCCTTGGCCGAATCGGAAACTCCCTTGGAGATAACAGATGTATCGAGGGGTTCGATGTGCTTCAACATATTAGCAATCACCAAGAACCCACGATCCAAATTCGATTTTTGGGTCGAAACGAAGTCGTCGGACACTCCGCCGCCGCTCAGGCAGCTGACGGTGACTGTAGCGGGCCTCGTGGAAGATGTGGCGGGTATGGTAGCTCGGTTGGGAAGGTTGGTGGCGGTTACCAGGCGGGAAAGTGAAGGGCGGAGAGGTTCCGGCGACGAAAGGGAAATTACGCGGGAGAGGATGAGACCTCGAGCCGTAGCTGCCATTAGGCTGTCGGGAGCTTCGTGACCTCTCAACCCACCCTTACTGGTTATATAAATTAAGTTGCTTCGTGGTTTTCGGTATTATTATTATTATTATTATTATTATTATTAAGTTGTTTTTAATTTATTTATTATAAAAAAAGTTCGAAGAGTCTAAAACGCAATAATAATTTTGGCTATTTAGGGATCATGAAAAATATGAAAAATATATCTTCTATAATCATTAAAATGTCAAGAATAAACTAAAAAATATGTCAAAAAATAAGAATAATATTAAGAGGATTTAATTACCTTTTTAAATTAATATTATATGAAAAAGATTAATTAAAGATATCTAAATTATTTAACATGCAATTTTGATATTTTAAATGTAAAAAAATCTTAACTTTCACTTTTCTCTTTCATTTAAGCAATGAATTATTTTAATTTTTATTTTCTTTTCTATCTTGCAATGGATTTTTCATATAAGTTCAACTAAACTACATTAACATTATTGGAAGAAAATGATTCACCAATAATATTGGTTAGATTATTTTATCTTCTCAGTAGAATGCATAAGTTTATAATTCAATATGCAACAATTCATATGTAAATTAATTTTTGATAATAATTTTCAAGATCATTTAAAACTTAAATTCTCAACTTATTCTTTTATCACTAAATCAAAATCTTCCTATTAGTTAGGCCAATAGTATGATAAATAATCAAAATCCCCTTAGCTTGCAAAAGTTTGTAAACTTAATTTATTCTTACTGCCATTGAAGGTAAAGAATAATAGAATATCAAAGGACAACCAAAGAAGAGTTGAAAGCAAGTCATAGTCTGTAGTAGGTCCGTTTTGTTTTCAGTAATTCAGTACTGAAGAACAGACCAACTAACAAGTGGGGCTTCTGTGGCGCTTATGCCCCTCTCGGTAATGGCTTCAGCACCACATATCCTCTTCCCCTTTTAGTAAACTGCACTTCTGCCACAATAATATCTTCAACAGTATGTAGGATTTTCGACCCAAAAAAGAAGTAAATTTCAAACCACTTTTGAACCCCTGATATGACTCCATTTATGGATATGGATAAGATGCTTACAATGACAGCTTAAATTGAACAACAGCAATTAACGCAAATAATTCTGTGTGCAAATCAAAGCAATAAAAACAATTCACAGACAAGCAGAACCACACTAGTTTTCTGAGCTGTTTAGCGTTAGTATGCTGCCCTAAAATATACAGATACTGGCAAATTGTAAAGAGTTTAATAGCAACGGTGGAGAATACTGTTCATGAACTTCAATAGGAAGTTGAATCCCATGGTTTGCTAACACTTCTAAAAGGAAAAACAGAATTCCAACTTCAGTGATTCTCCTATTTCTTCAAACAGAAATAGGCCACGAAATTATTGGGGTGGGAAGCTAGAAGCTTACCAAGGGAATTGGTGAATTCATGGGGATCATGATGACCAAGAAATGGGTTCAATCAAGAAAGTACATTCTACTTCTATACATATACCTGTAAGAAAAAAAAAATTGTACTCCATGATATGAGTGACAGTTAGGATCCTTGTTGTATTTGCTCTTTTCCTGCAACTTCAGCATACCATGACTTCCATGCCTCCACATAATGGCCAAAAAGATCACTCAGAGCTGCCACCAGACAATTAACAAAACTGATATTACTTTTCGTTATGAATTAAAATCTAGTTGATACAAATGTTACTTGTCAAGCAAATTGTGAGCATGAATGGCATGGATACCAAAGAAAAACTTAATGTTGAAAACTGAAATGAAGAAAGGCCTACAAAACTGTTTCACAAAGAGGAAAAAAACAAGGACGAGTATATGTGGTTAATAACATGACTGTGCATAAGAAATGCATGGATGGGTTATTTATTCTTTTCCATAAAGTGGTCTAACAACTAAATACAGCTTTCTTTGGCAGAGTAACCAATAAAAGCCAACTAGAACTTGACCTTTACACAGTGAACTCTGAATAGTTACCTTGATTGCGATACTGAGGTTTATAAGAAGAAGCAAGGTTCTCCCAATCCATAAGCCGTCTCACATTGTTATTTTCTGAATCACCTTTTATGTTTGCAGGAGTAAAGGGTCCAAATACAAAACCCTTTGAATTTTGTTTTGAATGCTGCTTGAGTTTGTGCACATCATGGTTGCTTTCTGAAATATCATGTTTGCTATGCATTCTCATATTTTCCTTCTGATCTGAAATCCAGTCACTTGAGGAACCAACCTTGTTTCTCTTTAAACTGTAGTTTGTAATGTCATACCCAAATACCCTCTTCTTTGTTTCATTCAAATCCAAGGCTGTGGCAGATTCACTATAGTGTTTTCCTTCCCATCCTAACCACCTAAATGCTGGTTTCCTACTCTCCGGATGATGGATCTGCAAATGATCAAACAAATTATATTAGTAATAAGAAAACAAAAACAGAACTTAGGCATAGTTGAGGGCTTGACTCTTGAGGCCCCCCCATACGGACCTTCTTATTGATTAAAGAAAAAGGGGTGAAAAAAGCTACTTTTTATCCACTCATGTAATAAATAAAAATATAGTAGGAGCTCCATTTTACCTTCTCAATCAAATTCATGGAAGAGAAAACATTAGCAATGTCATATAATCGTCTAATTTTTGCTGCAGAATCAAGTTTAGAAATGAATATCAGTCTTTGGTTTATCATCTAATTTATAGTCATAAAATGTACAAATAGGACCATCATGATGGAAGATCTATTACTTCTCATAGCTGTTGAATTGTTTGAATCACCCAGCAAGGCAATAGCTGCACTCTCCAATGTGATTATATCAACCTAAGGAAATAAAAATGATAGCCATTAACGGCAAAGCAATTGTTCGCGATAGAAAAACCATGCAAAAGGAAAAGTTGCTTACGTCTGAGCAAAGGAAGAGCTTGATAAAGTTCTGTGTGAGAAGCAATAGGGATTTTTCTCTTTTGTTATCTAGGCAAACAAAGATGAATGTTAAGCATGTCAATAGCAAAATTAGAAAATGCTAGTATTTGATGCTAGGAAAGATAGTACAAAATTGTCTGTCTTACGATTAATTAACTTTCTTCATTGAATGACAGATTGACTCGGTTACCTGCTTTCATTGAGGCAAAAGAATTATCATCACTTTTCACATTGATAGACTCCCCACTTTCATTGTCATCCACAAACTGACCAAGCAAAACAAACTCAAATAAATGAAAGTGCAAGAAGTAAAAACATGTGGACTTGATCATTTAATATGAAATCAATTCAAACTTGACTACAAAGATTTCCTATTTAAATTGTACTAGTAATTTAAGTAGAAATTCCAATTGACCAAATCTCATTGGTTAATTAGAAAAATCAAATTGAAGTTCCACTTTTTATTCGTCCTCAGATGAAATAGAATCTTGTTCATCATACCCTTGAGGAGTTGCCAGGACCTAAATTACTGAAGTTCTCTCTCAGTCCCTCTTCCTGTAATAAAAAAAGATGGCACACAGATTAGACCTCTCATGAAGAAAGGCACAGATAACTAACATTTATGCATAACATATACCCTAAGCTCCTCTAAAGTCCTCGGAATTTCTCCATAACCCTTCCATGTGTATCGGTTCTTCCCTCTTCTTGTAACAATCTAAACCAAATAAATAAATAAATATAAACCTAATTAATTTGGGATATTCAATTCTAAAAGGAAGCTCATAAAATGAGTTGGGTTTTATAAACAGAAATTAAGTAAAAGGAATGTGAATCTTACACCAATACTCTCCAATATATTCACCACATCATATATTCGGCGACGCTCAACTCCTGGAAGTCCAGAAAAGGGGTTCAGTTTAGGTAATCAGTAACTCGAAATGCTAAATTTTATTTCGAAGCCGAGAAAAACACTTAAAAGAGAGAAAATTCTAAATCTTAGCATTAAAAACTCAATTAATAGAAGCTCAATAATGCAACAGTGTTAACCATATTAGGAAAAGGAAGAAGAAAATGACAAGACCTAACTTTAGCGAGATGGGTTTTTTTTATTTCGCATCATTTAACTAGATCAAACAATTTTTCATTTTCTTTTGCCTTCTTCCACGTTCTCTTATTTTCTCAGGAACCAAACATGAAATAAAGAATCACCGAGATTAAAAAAAGACCTAATTTACTGGCAGCATCATCAAGTCCAATCGCATCAACGTCGTCTCGATTGTATAACGTCAAGAAACTGATTAGATTAAAATCAAAAAAAAAAAAAAAAAAAAAAAAAAAAAAAAAAAAGGTGAAAAATAATAATCCGTGAAAAAACAAAAAACAAGATCTAATCTAACGGAGAAGGGAAAAGAGAAAAGACGAGAAAAGTTACTTGGAGCACAAGAGGCCGAGAGATTTCTCTTTGCGGGAGTAAAGAGGTCTCCCACCGGATTCAATTTCTCGGGAAACAAACGTAGGAAGAGACATTTTCCTCGAAACAAACAGCTGATTGGAAAACAGAGGGAAAAAAAAAATGGTTTGTGAGGGAGAGAAAGACCGTTAAAAGGCGAGGGAGATCGTTGGGCGGGTGGGGAAATTCAAAAGCGGATTCAGATCTCACCGCCGTCCGGTAGATCGCGCTAATTCAAATTCGGATCAGGAAACCGCGCCCTGTACTTGTTGGAAGTACACTTTTACCCTTGTTCTTTTCATTTTACCATACTAGTATTGATATTAAAAATGAATTTTTTTTTGTTTTAAAAATTAAAAAAACTTGTTTTTTTGGCTCTTTTTTATGGAGAGATTTATGGTTCAAATCTCAATCCATTCTCATCAAATAAAAAATAAATATCAAAGTAGAAAGATAATTTCTTTTGGTAACCCAACATAAGAATAAATTAAAAATACGTAGATAAACATTAATGTGAGCATGTAAGTTTAAGGGCAAACTTGACAATGCACGAAATAAGAGAGAAATGGTAATGTGTTTTATTATAGTAAGGGTTGCGCGTAAATGGAAATTGAATCTGAATCTGATCCTGACACAGATCAAAAGACAATCCTGTTGAGAGAATCTAATCTCCATGCTCATGCATGGTCATAATTATTTTTAATATTATATATATTTATTCATTTAATAACATATTACATTTATTTAACAGGACATCATGGCATTGTAAGTTGTAATTATAGCATTACCCAGACAAATGTTCATAAATATGGGCAAGAAGAGTGCGAAGATAAATGCAATTCTTCATCAGATTAATTCAATATTTTCATGACATCAGAAAACCATAATAAAGTTCACTCATGTGTACCACAGCCACTATTTCATATTAAAAACAAGCTTAAGGTGGGCATAACAATTAAGATAACATATCGCAGAAACAGGCATTGTTGGTTGATGTCAAACACACAAGCAGATTGATGTATAATCAATTGGGTAAAGAAATATGAAAACCGATCATCTGGGTTTGTCAAAAAATAATAGCTTCACAATACAATCAAAGTATTCAGAGGAGAGGGGAAACATGAAAACCGTGACTAGAAATAGTTATAATAGACACTACAGACTGCATTCTAATAAAGTAGTAAGGCAAAAAAGACACTAAAATGATTGTAGCAATATAAAATGGAAAATTTGAAATTTATGGCACTTTATGGCTCTACAGCACTCACTTGTTGCCACTGGCAGTCAACAGCCTCCTTCCACAATGTTATGTTGTTATTTCCATCAGCCACAGACAACAGATTTCCAGTCAGTGACCATGAGACTCTCCAAACAGGGGTCTTGAAATCATTCAAAACCTTCCCTTCCCATTGCTCCCCTTCTTTAGCACAGGTCCATATAACAACAGTTCCATCTTGAGAAGCACTTGCGATTGTAGATTTTGGAAGCCCCAGGTTAGGTGCCCATGCAACATCCCGCACCCAATCGGTGTGCTTCTGCAGGGCAGGGAAACAGTCCATCTTCCAAGTCCCATTGTACAGCTTCCACACTTTCACAGTATTATCACACCCACCAGAAGCCAGTTTCTGAACAGGGTCCAGGAGACTGGATCCAACTAAAGCACCTGGTGCTGTTGATGGAGCCCAAGAAACTGATGTCACTCCAACTGGGTGGGCTTGGTCTATCCTTGTGGTGTCCCAAGCACCATCAGCCCTAGCAGTAAAAACTGAGATGTTCCCATCAGAAGACCCACAAGCCAAGCAGAGGCCAAGTTCATGTGGCGCCCATGCAATGGAGTTCACTGATGACTTATGATCATTGAAGACATGAAACTGCACCCACTCATTCTGATTACCTTCCTTCCAGATTATCACTTGACCATCATAAGAACAGGAAGCAAGGATTGATCCAAACTTGGGGTGTGCCCAGGCAACCTCCCAAACAGGTCCTTTATGACCATGTAGAGTAGCCAGTTGCTGTGAACCAGAGTTGCTTACACCAATGATCTTGATGGTGGTATCAGATGAAGCTGTTGCCAACCTCTTTCCATAATAATCCATGGCCACATCATGGACAGTGTCCTCATGACCCGTCTCAATCTTCAATGGAGGCATTATTCCTGGTTTTTCTTCCCACTATCAGAACCTAATCTCCTCACCTTTCAAATTCTTGTCGGCAGCTCCTTATATCTTGAAAATTGGTTATCTACATAATTAAAATCATGATTAACCATATCAAACATTCGACACTCACAAAAAATTTGCTAAATAACTTTCCAAAACGACTAATTCAGCAACAAGCAATCATTTTTACAAGCAATATCTCCACTTTAAGATTGACTCTGAGCTACAGCCATTGCTAATCTCTAAAGTTAAGAAATTAACAAAATTATGCCTGAAATATTCACCTACAATCGCCCCAAAGATGCCAAAAAATAACAACAACCAGCTAATCATGGAAATTTTGCGATTTTCTCCCAGATCAAGTATAAAATGAACAAAATATAATGCGCTTAAAGGATTGCAAACATAAACGAAACGGAATCGAAGTGAAAACGATAATGAAATTGCTTGAGAAGTCCAAATTAAACAAATCTTAAAATCGTTCGAACATTATGGATCACAGATTCGCTTTCATCCAAAAAAAAAAAAATCATAAAATCATGCGCAACGCGAACAGATCTGGAAATAATCCCCTGAGAAACTAAATCAAGGGAAGCAAACTGCTCTAAATCGGAAAATATGTGATCAGAAGAAAAATTTTCAGTTTACCAGCCTGAAATGCAACCTCGCCGTCGCCGAGCCAGGATATTGTTGTTTGTGAGAATCCCTTGATCTATTAACGGGATACGAGAGTTGCTTGGACATCTGTTTGGACACGTAAATTACTATAATCGAGACAGGGGTAAGTGCATAAGATAGTCCAGGCCGCCAATGTTTTTTACATCTCCCCACCTTTTCCCTTTTTGGTCAACTGAGTTTTAATATTTTTTATTGTTTAAATTTAATCCAACCAACCAATTGTTTTTTCTTTTTCCTTTTTTCTTTTTAGATTTTTTGTTGAACAATGGAACACATCCCTCTTTCCCCTTACTTTACCTGCCCCACGCACACGCGGATGACTTGAATACGTATTTCCATTTAGCACTTTGTGATAAAATTGATATTTACAATAAAACTTATTTCAATTTTTTTTTTCAATATTCCTCCAAACTCTCCATAAATATATCTTTAAATCAAAAAATATATT